ACACTGCGACTTAATTTTTATGAAAATGGATTGAGATTTCTCTACTAAATTTTAATACTCTGAGGATAAAAAACTATACCTGAAATATCTAGTGTAGCAGACTTTTCATAAATGAACACTAGTCCTACCCTGTCTTAGCCCCCACTGAATTGCAATTTACTAGCTTGGTGCAGCAATCTAGTATATAAAAAAATTTTTTAAGTATTGATTTTGTAACATTTCTTAATAGTTGTCTTTTCTTCAAAAAAAAAAAAAGACTTATTTATTTATTTTAAAAGCTGAGTTACACAGAGAGAGAGATCTTCCATTCACTGGTTCATTCCTCAGATAACTACAATGACTGGAGCTGGGCCAGGATGCCAGAACTTCTTCCAGACATCACAAGTAGAAATAAGAACTCGAGCACTTGGATTCCTTCACTGCCTTTCCCGGGCACATTAGCAGATAGCAGGATCGGAAATGAGAGCAGTGAAGCCTTGAATTTGTGCTCATATGTATGTCAACACAGTTGGCTTGGCCTTCCCCGCTACACCACAGTGCCAGAGTGCTGGCCCCAATAACTGTCGTGCACCCAGCAAAACTGAAGCACAGTCCTTATACGACTTCACTCGAGTCCCAAACAAAATAATAAACGGGACAAGGTCAAAGGAAATGCGCTGAGATATTGCACCAGAGCTCTGAAAGCTGACAGGCTACAGGCAATTATTTAGGTGTAGCTCCTCACTGAGTCGAATGATTAAGAAAGGAACGCACGGCCAGTGGAACAGTAAGGGAAAGAAAACAAATGCTCTATTGGTGTATATCTAAGCCTGTGATATTCACCTTCCTTCAAAGAGTAAGATAAATTCATCATGATCACTTCCTGGTTACTCAACTGTTGTTCCACCTGAATACTGCCTTCTTTTCCAATGTTTGTAATGCATTGTAAGTCCCCACACATTTCTACTTACTACAGAATACAGTCCCTTATTTAAAACAAACCAACCAACCAACCTGACCGCAAATCAAGTTCCTTTCTTTCTGCCAGAGCCTTTAGTTCGTCGTCCAGATTCTTGGTCTGAACAGCTTCCCTTCTCAGGCAGTCCTCTAATGTATTCTGGAACCCTGATGCTAATCTCTAATTTTTTTTTTTTAAGATTCTAGTATTCGTTTAAAAGGCAGAGTAAGAGACAGAGAGAAGCCTGCACCTATTGACTGACTTCCCAAATGGCTGTCACCAGGAAAGATGGTCCAAGCCAAAGCTAGGATCCCAGAACTCCATCCAGTTCAGCTGTACTGAGTAACAGGGGCCGAAACATGTGAGATAGCCTCTGTTATCCCAGGCAAGTGAGCAGAGTGGGACCAGACTGAAACCAGCTGTCAGTAAATGGCGCTGGTATCAATAGTGCAACTCAAAAACTTGTACCCAGCCCCATCAAGCTCTAATCTGTTCATCTCCAGATATTCCCTTCCCTCCTGAGGATTTCCAAAGCCCTCCCGAGGCCTGCTCTGCTCTAAGCTTCAAATCCATCTACCATGCTTTGTTACAAGGTTCTCAGTTTCTGTATTTCCTCTGAATCCATACCACTGCCTTAATCACAAACTACTTAGTAACAAATAAAAATAAACTAGGCAGGTATATTAGCAATACACTTTGTAAATAAAGAAGAGATGCAAAACATTAAAGTTTGCAAAATATTACAAATATAAATAATCTATCTGCTTTAATTTCAACTTCAACATTAAAGTCAAATATTAGATAAACTTACAAATAAAATTCTCAAAAATCTTAGATCATGAAAGTTGTCATAAAATTAGATTGTATTAACCCAGAGTCTCAATGTGTACATATCCCAAGGGTTCTGTCCAAGTAGCTTGGATAGTTCTGAAATGCTGATTTCACCAATCCAAGGATGATGTTACTCTCCCAATGTCCATTGGCTCCATTCACCAAAATTATTTGCTGGGTTGATATGAGGTGGCGGTTCCTCATCCCTGGGTACTGGTATGTGTGGAACATCATGAGTGGTTTTCCCCTTTGTCCCTCCCCTCCCTCCAGGAACAACAAGAAATGGCAAATTTGGAAGAAATGAATTCACCCCATTTTCCCTAAACTTTGACCATTCCCACCCTGATCACCCATGTAACAATTATTTTTAAAAAAATAAATCTAAAAAAATTAGATTGGATTAAAAAGACAGTGATGCTATTAAAATGAAAACCAAAGAAAAATAAGTTGGAAAACCATTCTTTTTTTTTTTTTCTTTTAAAGGTTCATTTATTTGAAAAGCAAAGGTACAGCCAGAGAGGACGAGACACAAAAAGAGACAAGCAGTCCATCCCCTGGCTTACTTCCCACAGAGCCAGTCGGATGAGCGTAGCCTGGGAGAGACCCTGAAGCAGACAAAATCTTCCCAAACCACCACAAATGCTGGAGCTAGGCCCAAGAACAGTAGCAGGGAGATGGAAATGGATCGAAAATGGAGCAGCTGGGAATCAAACCAATGCCCATATGGAAAGTCAGTGTTGCAGGCAGAAGCTTAACTTGCTATACTACAACACCAGTCCCAGTAATCAATGATTTAAAACTTTGAACTGTGATCTTTGAACTGGTGGGGATGTAAAAACAGTATAGCTATTATGGAAAACAGCATGGAAAGTCCATTAAAATTTAAAAATAGTATTACCAAATGATCTAGCAATCTCACTTTCAGATATCCAGGGAGATATGTGTATGTATGTGTATTGTATATAACGCAAACAGGATCACAAACACATATTTACATACTACGCTCACTACAGCATTATGTACAAAAAGACAGAACTGATATTACTGAATTAATGGATAAATAAAATGCAGAGTGTGTGTGTTTGTTTGTATGTGTGTGACATAATATTATGAAGTCTTAAAAAGGAAGAAAATCACATCTACTACAACATGGATGAACCTCAGAGGCATGCTGGCGGGGCTGACGTGATGGCACAGAAGGTCAAGGCACTGACTGCAATGCCAACTGGCTGTATCAGAGTGTGGGTAGGAGTGCTGACTGTTTCATTTCCTATTCAGCTTCCTATTGATGCAACTGGGAAGATAGCATAAGATAGTCCAGGTACTTGGGACCCTGCTATCCATGTTGGAGATCAGGATGGATTTCGTGGATCCTAGCTTTGCCTTGGCCCAGACCTGGCTGTTGCAGCTATTTGGAGACTGAATTAGTAACGGAAAATCAATCTCTAACTCCCAATCTATGTCATTCTGCCTTTCAAATAAATATTTTTTTAAGGGCATAACAGTAAGTAAAATAAGCCAATCACAAAAGAACAAATACTATATGATTCCACTAACATTAAGTATCTACAGGAGCCAAAAGCATCGGAACAAAAGCTATAATGGGTGTGGGCTTTCCCATATGAGAAAGGTCCAGGCATCTTTTATACAACTCACATCAACACAGCCAACCCTACTGAAGTGTGCCCTTCAAAACAGTAAAGATAGTAAATTTAATGTTATGTGTCTTTTACTACAAGATAAATTCACAAAAGAAAAATATCTTAAACAGGCTGATTTGCAGCAAGAATAAATTTTAAATCATGCTGATTCACAGGCACTGGCCCTAACATGCAGAAAAGTGAACTTATTCTGTGCTTACCAGGAATTTATTCATTCATCCAAATGCTCCTAAGAAAATCGAAGAAGTATGAAGTATGTGGCAGGCCCTGTTCCAGGTGCGTGGGATGTGTCAGTAAGCAAAATAACTATCTCAGCCTTTACATGCTGACTGAGACAGACAGATGACCAATAAACTGAGTAAGTAAATGTGATGGGCTCCTGCTAAGTGGCTTCCAGGGATCACTTGCATTCATACTCTTTAATTACTCCCTATGCCTGTGCTAGACCTAACAAACAGAATACAGCATAAGTGATGACATGCCATCACATTTCTAATACTATAAAAGGTGGTGACTTTTGTCATGCTCACTCTGGAGCCAGTTACCAATCTATGAACTATTCTGTACTCAGCCCTGTAGAGTGGTAAGGAACTAGTGCCCTCCCAACAACAACAGCCAGATCTAAAAACTGGCCCTCAGTTCAATAGCCAACAAAGAACTGGGTGTTGTCAACAACCAGATGAACGAATTCAGATTGAATCCATTTCCAGTCAAGCCTGGAGGTGACTGCAGCCCTGGACAGCATCATCAGTACAGCCTGGGATAGACCCTGAAGCAGACAACAGCCAAGACAAGAACTCACTGAGTTCTGCAATGATTATTTCACAGTAATATTTATTTGTTATTACGTGGTATGCTTAAGGGGATGCCAGTGTGCTGGCATTGTAGCATATCAGGTTAAGCTGTGCCTTGTGTAACAACAGCCCATGTTGGAGCACCGGTCTGATGGAGTGCCAGTTGGAGTACCAACTGTTCCTCTTTCCATTCAGCTTCCTGCTAATATATCTGGGAAGACAGCAAATAAAGGCCCAATGTTTGGACAATGTTGGCAAGTGAACCAGTGGACAGTGCATAGGTCTCGGTCTTGGTGTCTCTCTTTTTCTCTCTTTTTCATTGCATGTGTGTGTGTATCTGACTTTCAAATAAATACATAAATAAGTCTTTAAAATGAAAAAAAAAGAACTGCAAGGAGAGGAGCACAGACAGATAAAGAGATCTCTTCCATCTGGTGGCACACTCCCTAGATGGTCACAGCAGCCAGCAGCAGATGAGTCTAAATGCAGGAGCCAAAAGCTTCATCCAAATCTCCCACGTGAGTCGTAAGAGCCCAAACACTTTGGCTATCTTTCACTGTTTTCTCCAGGTCATTGGCAAGGAGCCAGCTCACAAACCAATATCTACAGGGAATGTCGACATTGCAAGCAATAGCTTCACCAACTGTGTTACAACACTGTCTCCACTTTGCTCATTTGAAAGAATGACTATGGCTGACTACCTATGGACAGTTGAACTAAATACCTTATTTCATTACAGATAAAGTGACTTTTATTCCTACTCTCTAAAAACCTTACCCAGTTGTTTTTTTTCCCAGCATAAATTTCCATGTTCTCTCCATACTGTGGCTCTTCCAGTAACGTCTGGTATTCAAACATGAGGCGGGAGCTCTCGCGGAGGCGGCTGCATTGAAACTGATGATACTGTTGCACAAGTTCCTTCACCACCAGTAGGAGACATTCAGGATTTGAAGGATTCCAGGAGGCAAGATTCTGCAAAAATCATAAATAAAAGATGAATTCATAAGGAATATTCATCCAAATCTACAATTGTACTCATACATCTATATGAAGAAGAATGATACAAATCTAAGATGAACCAACTAACTGCCATGGACTTAGAGAAGAACCGAGAAGGTGCTTTTGATCTGTGTGATATCTTCTGCCTCCGAAATATCCTTGCAAAAAACTCAAGAAGGAATTCCATCATGAATAAGCAGAAATAACTGTAAAGCAGTGTAGTAACAAAACAAAATACCTAAATATTCTAGAAGGCCATAATTTTAGCCTAGGAAGCTTTAATTTGTTTCTGATTCTTTAATAATTTTGATTTATTTTCATTCTGTACCTAAATTCAGCATTATGTGTGATAGTAATTCAATTTAGTTCCCCAGACCATCTGCATCTGAATTACCAGATAAAAATAAATGCTCCACAACACTGGAGTCTCACAGAACTACAGCACAGTGATGATAACGAGGCCTGAAAAAGGAGTAGAGACGAAGAAGGTAAGCGCCCATCCATTCATTCAACAAATACTTCTCCATGCCTGTTACACACCTGCCACTGTACTAAACAGTGAGGAAAACAACACAAGGCTGTGCTCTCTAGCACTCAGATTTGAATGGATGGCAATAAACAGTAAACAAATAAATATATCAGGTAAAAAGTACAGTGAAGAAGAATATAGTGGGCCCCTCCATCTGCAGTTTTATTTTCTGAGGTTTTGGTTATCCCAAAGTCAACTAACTATTGATAAATGTTAGCAATAAGGAACTGGAAGAACTGGCTGAGACATTTACAAAGGAAACAATCTACAAGGTGGAATCACTAAAATCTGTTGGTGTTTCAAACTGTACAGAAATGAAAGAACAACATTACAGCACATGATCTGCAATGGAATACAGTGTTAAAGTCACCAGTATGATCACCAAAGTGTTCAGTCTCTGTAGCAACACCTTCATGTGTTAAAAAACAACGAGACCGGGCCCAGTGCGGTACTCCAGTGCTAAATCCTCACCTTGCATGTACCAGGATCCCATACAGGCACCAGTTCTAATCCAGGCTCTCCACTTTCCTTCCAGTTGTGGCCTGGGAAAGCAGTAGGTAATGGCCCAAAGCCTAGGGACCCTGTGCCCGTGTGGGAGACCAGAAGAAGCTCCTGGCTGCTAGCTTTGAATCAGCTCAGCTCTGGCTGTTGTGGCCACCTGGGAGTGAACAAGCAGAGGGAAGATCTTACTCTCTGTATCTCCTACTCTCTGTATCTTCTTCTCTCTGTATATCTGCCTTTCCAGTAAAAATGAATACTTTTTTTGTAAAAAAAGGAAGGAAGGAAGGAAGGAAGGAAGGAAGGAAGGAAGGAAGGAAGGAAGGAAGGAAGGAAGGAAGGAAGGAAGGAAGGAAGGAAGGAAGGAAGGGAGGGCAAAATAGAGGGAGAAGGAAGGGAAGAAAAAAGAAAAAAGAGAGACAGAGAAAGACAAAGACCAAAACCTCTGGATGCAGTGTTCTTCTAAGAGGTTGCAGCAAAGGAAAATCTTCGACTGTCAAGGCTGGTGAAGCAACACTATCTGTTCCTGACATCAAATCATTGATACCATTATGGTGCATGGTACATATCAATGCCAGCTGAGCCATCCTCCTGCCCACACAGCTCACAAGGACTAAATGACAATGGTGAAAGCATTAAGTCCTCCTGTTTGACAGGAATAATTCTTCTTCAGGGAGGTTCACAGAAAGGGAAGACTTCAGCATCATCAAACAATAAATGAAACAAGTTCCTTGATAGAAAAACAATCTGCTAGGAAGCATACAAAGTCCTCCCTGAAAAAATCTTACCACAACAGCCTGAAATTCCTTTTGAGCTCCTCAAGAAAACATTCAAAGTATCAACAGGATATAGACAGAACCTTAAGAAATCATTACATACTTTGTAATGCATTTCCTTTACATATCATCATTAAACACTTATAAATAGGAAGACAGACAACACACCATTTCTTGGTCAAGTATTCCTTTCCAGTCCTGTGTCAGTGCTGGGACAAAAAGAAAAAGCTTTTAGTTGCATCAATTTTTTATTTTTACCATTTCTCTTCAGCTGCTTGGCAAGCTACAAGCTTATATCCACACATTAAAAAATAAATTATGAAAATATGTAAGCTGGCAAACATCTTTTACCAATTTGAGTTGATTTCAAGTGATTCAGCCTAATTGTTAAACGCTTAGTAAAGTGTGCCAACCAGCCTCTTTCTATTAGAACACGATCTCTCAATACATGCCAATGTATTTGACTTTCGTGGCTGGTCAAGGCACACTTAACTGGGAAACGTCCTCGTCAAGGGAGGTTAAGATACACTACCCCAAACAAAGATCTTCTAGTACTACAACATGACCATTTCCAGTCATCAGGTAGTGGGTACTTTGAGTCAATTTACTTAGAAAGGGGAAGAACCCAAAATATATAAGGTTTAAAACAGGTTACTTCCTAAATAAGGACTTATTTTAAAAATCTATCTGAATAATACAGGATATCTGAGCTTCCACTCTCTGGAGCAGGATATACAGGAAAACATCCAAAGCTCCTTCACAGAAGGAAGATGGGAAGACATAAATTGGTAAGCTCCTTTTCAAAAAAGAAAAAAATAATAAGTGTACCTTTCTACTCAGAATTCTTATTCTACTTAACTTGGTTAATGTATGGAGAGAAAAATCTAAAATTACGATGGTCAAAAAGTGTAGTCATAGGTCCAATAATACACTAACAGAATAGAATTGGGATTCCAAACATGAAGAAGTTAAAATCATATATTAAGAAACAACAAGAAAACTGTCAGAAGAAAAAGAAACAAAGAAAACAGTCAGAAGAAAAAGAATGTACTGTTTTACATTTTATATATCATTTATTCTCACTAAAAATAGTTTGGGCAAGACTTTATGCTGGTTCTTTTCAAGAACTAACTATATCAAGAAGTTAGCTAACTGTTGATAATCAAGTATGATTAAAAACTAAACATTGTAGAAAGTCAATTTGCCAATTTTCTCACTTTAATTCAGTAAAATACCAGTTTTCAACCACAGAATTGGCACCTGCCTCTCTGAAGTCATAATTAACTCATGCACAACGGAAATCCAGAATTCCTTACTTTGCTCCCCCTATCTCAGGTTGCTGGGCGTGACAGACGCTTGCAGCTCATGAACCCCTTCATCTTCCCACATCATTCTCTCAGAAATACATTCACCACGTACCCTATATTCACAAATGAATGGCCTCACAGATTTGAACAAGTCCAACTTATCCTCAGATCCATCCTCATGGTAGTTTTCTTACGTCAGAAGGTAAGGGATAGGAGCATCTCAGCTCAACAAACTGACTGGGCTCCTGCCATTGATGGGGAGGTCCACATTCAGTTATTGGCTCTCTCGGCCATGGTCCAGCATCAGTTTTTCCAGTTGTTTGGGGAATGAATCAGCTGATGGGAACTCATTATCTTCTATCTTTGTCAATCAAATAATTTTTTGGAAGTAGGAGATAATATTTTCAGAATTTAACTCTCAATTTGGGTTTAACTTACTCAAAATCAGTTTTTCAGTCACATTAAAGAAAACTTAACCATACACCAGAAAACCAATAAATGGAAAAAGTAGGAAAAAAATGAAGTACGTTCAAGTTTTGGGGGCAATCAATAATTCTCAAACTGAGGAAGCAACTGAGACCTGAAACCGCAATACCTAATAATGACGTGGGGAAATCATCTAGGAAAAAACCCAAATAAGATTACAATAAAAATTTTTAATCAATAATGAAATAGTCAAAATATGAAAATTATATGAATTCTCTTACCACAAACTTCTGTCCAATTGCACAAACTTCTGACCTAGCACATCAATAAAATAAAACCAAACAATGTGAACGTATATGACTATATTAGTAATCAAAGATAAACAATTTTCTTTCTTTCAAAAAACTAATTTTTCAATAAAAATATATGCAAATGGCAAGAGGATGTTTTTTTTCCAAATAGTTTAAAACAGGACACAAACAATGCTGGCAAGTCTCCTCCCAAACAAAATTCCAAAGTCCCTCCCATAGCAGGCTATCCCTGCTCACAGAGAGCTACACACAACACCAGTGTCTACCCTTCTTGGAAATTACAACAGGTTACTGCCTTTGGCACATGTGCTTCCGCTCCACTCTTTGAAGCTCCACACCCTGTCCCTGTGGTCCATCTGGGCTCCCTTGAATCAGTGTCTGACATTTAACTCATGAGCCTGACCTCACTCCAAGACAGAACTTCAGTTCCACAGTGTTTCTTGTGCCAGCGGGACTCACTGATTTGGCTTGCCTCTCACATTTGGGGCAAAAACAATGAAAAACAAAGTTTCCAGCTTAAATCGGTGGTTCCTTAGTTCAGTAAATCACAAGTATTAGTGAATATTCAGTAACAGGCACCTGTACCCGTTATAAATTGATACAGTTAAACATATAGACACGTAAAGAATCTCAAAAATCTTTCTTAAGGCTTCTAGAATTCCTATTTCTGAGAACATAGCTAATAAAAACTAGAAAGAAAGGAGGGAAAACTTTATAGACAAAAGTGTACACTAAGTCATTTATAGTATCATGAAGCTGTAAATATCTAAATGCCAGATAATAATATTTTAAAGACTGAAAATAATTAAAAGGAATAATGCATAAGCAGTATATAACAATACTTTCAATAAAATATCAAAGGAAAGCAACATAAATACACATATACATTATGACACATATTATTCTCATTCCCTTGGAACCCTCAAGAGGTGAAAAAATTTATATATGGAAAAATCACAGAAACAATTGTTAATGATTGTGCCAATTGTTGAAAGCTATTTAGAAGAATTTTCTCCTTCATCCTATGCTTCCATAATTTCCAAATTTTCTGCATTTATATTACATATATGTGTGTAATATAAATGGATATATAAAACACATGTGCATACCTTTCTGATAGACAAAT